GTGCAGCACAGCTCTGAGACAGTATACTCCAGCATGCAGCTGTAACACCATGGTAACTATTTGTCCACCAGGTGACAAGAACTTTTCAGCACCTTTAACAACAGTATGGGAAAATGGGGTGTGCATGTGTGTGTGCGCGCACGTGCACAGAAGTATAACCAAATGTATATCCTAGACTGTTAAGATCCAATGAACATAAGAGACATTATGAACTGTTGGGGAAAGTCCTGTGTTTGCCCACTATTGTCTCTGAATGTAATAAGGACCCAGGTCTAGGGGAGGAATTTTAACACCCCAAAGAATTTTGCTTCCATGCTCTTAGTAATGACAACTCTTCTGTTCTTTCTCTGTGTCTGTGTTGCAAACTCAGAGTGGGTATATCGGCCAGGACAATAATCCTTATCATAATGTACAGGTAATAGCTTAGCAGGTTTTGAAGAGATATGAATGCAACTGTATTAAAAATGTCTACTCTTTTTATTATCAACTCTCAATTCCAGACTTAGCCTGAAGGACAAATGTTTATGAGAACCAATGCGGGAAAATCCATCTTGATCAAAGGAAGGGCCTGGGTGATGGGGGATTCCCCTCTGTACGGTATAAATATATTTTATTATCACTAGTTAATAAAGAAGCTGCTTTAGCCTATGGCAGGGCAGAATATAGGCAGATGGGAAAACTAAACTGAATACAATAAGAAAGAAGGCAGAGCCAGGGAGGCATCATGTAGCTGCCAAAAGAGAAAGATGTCAGAACATTACCAGTAGGCCACAGTCTCGTGGTGATACACAGATTAATAGAAATGGGATAATTTAAAATGTAAGAGCTTGTTAGGAATACACCTGAGCCAATGACCAGTGCTGTAATTAATATAGTTTCTGTGTGATTATTTGGGTCCTAGCGGCCAGGAATTGAAAGGACAGTCTCCACTTATACCTGGGTTGGGTATGGGGTGAATAACTTGATACTAAAAACAAAGCAACACAAAAAACCCGAATGAAAAAATGTAAAATAACTCAGAAACAATCAGTACACATTAGGAAGAAATGTGGAGCCGGGCAGTGGTGGCACACGTCTTTAATCCCAGCACTTGGGAGGCAGAAACAGGCGGTTCTCTTGAGTTTGAGGCCAGTCTGGTCTATAAAGAGCTAGTTCCAGGACAGCCAGGGCTGTTATACAGAGAAACGCTGTCTTCAAAAATTAAAAAAAAAAGAAGAAGAAGAAGAAGAAGAAGAAGAAGAAGAGGAGGAGGAGGAGGAGGAGGAGGAGGAGGAGGAGGAGGAAGAAGAGGAAGAAGAAGAAGAAGAAGAAGAAGGAAGAAGAAGAAGAAGAAGAAGAAG